GTTTTAAGGAGTCTTCTACATTAAATAAGAGGAATCTAATTGTTCTTGTGCTTTGAAATCTTTAATTTAAAGTAGGATATATTAAAATAAATTAATTTCTTGAAAATTTAATGAAATGTTATATTTATACCATTTCTTTCAATAAACAGCATTATTTTCTCATATTTACTTCTTCAAAAATGGGTTGTATGTAATGAAAAACACACACAAATATACCAAAAATCAGGAAAAGGATTAAAATTATTTAATTTAATGATACAAATGTTTTTTGTCAATTTCTAACAATCATCATCAGGTATATCTTACTGAATACTGAACAGAATAACATTAAGAAATCGAACACATTTAAATATAAAGATTTAAAGTGGTTTGAATCTTGCACATGCACATTGGTACAGTGTACTAACCTAACACACAGAAATTTAACAAACAGGAAATTAAAAATTGCATTTTTTAACTTTAAAAATATAAATATTACAACTTTAACTTAAATTGCCTGAAGGCAAGGAGTATAATAGTATCTACATAGAACAGAAATCCTAGGAAAGTTTGTAGCATGCTCTCCATGCTATAGAGACATTTACATCTCTCTAAAATTGACTGTCTTCTGGTTCCTAACAAAATCTCTAAATATCTCAAATAAACGGGATCTGAAGTCCAATGTAGTAGATATATGAGGGGGAACCCCAAAAAAAAAAAAAAAACCAAACTGAGAGCACGCTGCCATTCATAGACGTAGTAGAGAGTTCTCCCGTTAGATGGGGTTAGTAGAGACCTTCACAAAACAGCTGTGCAGATGGTATCAGTTTGTAGGTTTACGTTTGAGAATAGTGTTGTGTTTCTCTTACTGTTATTTTGTTCCGCCTGCGAAGTTCTGGGTGTCCTTCAACATCTCAAAATGATGAAAAAGTTGAAAAAATCTGCCAAAAAAGTTTAAAGATGTCTGCAAGAGTTTAAAGTTTAAAGATGTCTGCAAAGGAAACGTCTGGAACTTTGGCAATCAGGTGACTGGTTCCTTCATCAAGACAACACCCTCCCGCACACACAGCCTTATGAGTGACCCACTGTTTGGCCTTTCGGGGATGGCCTGTCGTTCCCCACCCTTTGTATTCACCAGACCTAGCCCTGTGTGACTTTTTCTGTTTTCGAGAATGAAGAAAATTCTAAAAGGGAAGCATTTTGATGATGTGGAGGTGGTAAAAACAGCTTCTCTAAGGGCACTGGACAATATCAAGTTTGAAGAGATCCAGAGATGCTTCAGACAGTGGGGAAAAGACTTGACAAGTGCATTGTATCTAATGGAGAGTACTTTGAAGGTGGCTGAAAAAATTTTGTAGAAAAGTTAAGAAATAAAGTTTTTATANCCCCCACATACACCTTGAAAATCCACCCTCACGTCACCATCCAAAAAAATTTGCTGCCAAAGCCATATTGGAGAACTTCTTACTAACATCATGTATAGTACATATTCCTTTAGTCTGATCCCAAGGAACCTAGCCATGAATCCAATGTATACCAATGACTAGTCTACACAAGTATCATACAAAGGAATAGCATAAACACCCGATGAGAAGTGCTCCTCTACTGGGTCCTTATCATTTTCTGATCAATGCAAAGATTAGATTCCTCCTATAAGTGATTCTGATGTTAGCCACTTTAGTAATTTCCTTATGAATGTTAAACAATGTCTTATTGTATGCAACAATAAACAAGTCTTCCTGTTGATAAGATTGTTGTTTGCGAAATATATGTTGATGTACCAGTTTCTTAATGAGCGTTGTGGAGCAACCATGTCATACTGCTAGGGCTGTGATCAATCTTAGCTTCTCTTTCCTGTCATGTGGCATGGCATAGAACAGTGTGTAAAGGTCCTCTCAACAAGAGAACAAAAGCTGGAAATTTTGTATGAGAAAGGATCATGGGACCGGTTTGGTATGTAGAGACAACAGTATGTCTCCTTTCAGTAAACTTTAGTAGCTAGTTTTCATTCTTCTAAGTTAATCAATATGTTTTAAGGAGTCTTCTACATTAAATAAGAGGAAGTCCCTTAGTTTAAAAAAACAAAAACATAGTTGTAAGCATATTGATGGAAAAATAGACTCAAAACCACAAACTGTAATAACTGCTTCTTCCAAGATGTCAAAGCACTTTAGTTTATTGATTACCTTTTTCATACCAGACACAGAGCAAAGATGGTTGTCAAGCTTGCTGTTGATGTAAGAGTTGAGCATTCTTTCCATATGTTTGGAAGGTGATTTCCATTTATTCATGACTGTACATAACATGTTTATGTTTATAACAGCCTTATGTTTAATATTCATAAGAAAATTACTAAAGTTGCTAACATCAGGATCACTTATAGGAGGAATCTTTGCATTGATCAGAAATGATAAGGACCCAGTAGAGGAGCTTGTTGTGATTGTGCACAATAACACAGACAAAGGGGTGAGGCTCTGAACAATACATTTATTATCCATTTGGGATCGGTTACACAGTTAACAGCGGGACAATGGTCCAACTACTCTCTTGTCGCGTGACTGACTACTAACTTTCCTTCTCAATGTTAAGGGGTGCCCTCGTCATCACATCCCTCATATCCTCCTTACCTTGGTCCTCTGCTTCTAGTGGGAGAACCAATTGAATGGGGCAACTGATGCGCTTCTGATCAGGGAGCCTCAGACATCATGTCTGAATGCAACCATCATGGCCAGCAATCAGCTCTTCAATTATGGTTGTCCTCCACATCTGTCTAGGCAGCAAGTCCTCTAAGAAGAACAAGAGCTCCTTCGCGGGGTAGAGACAGTTTCATCCTAACCCTGCAAACATGATGAAAGCTTTGGAAGTCAAGCAGATATTCTTTCTGCCATTGTCTCCAGAAGCTCTCGGTGATCGACTATTAGTGACGCCACTGTTTCACAAGGTCATAAGGTGGGGAATGGTTGTTAGGCTCTGGAAGGTCAGTAATTCTTTTTCCTACCAAGAAGTGAGAGGGTGTGAGAGCCACTGGCTCATCCATATCATAATTGTGTATCAGAGGCCTGCTGTTAAGGGCAGCTTCTACCCCAATGAGTATGGTAGACATCCGTTCTGCATTTACTAGGCTTTTTCCCAGTATCTTGCAGAGGCATCTCTTGCATTGCTCCCCACTAAGCCACCTTCTTCACATTAAAGACTCAAGTGATGCCATGGTGGGCAGAGTAGTGGGCAATCTGCTTATCAGAGAGTGTTTGCCATAGATCCTGTAGTTTTTGTTGGCTTTCTGGAAGGATTTGGCATTGTCTGAGTAAATCTTGCAAAGGAGGCCTCGTCATCCTACAAAGCACTGTAGACAAAGAAGGAAACTGTCCATTGACATGCTCGAGGACAGCTCAAGATGTACAGCTTGCGTTGTGGCACCGGTGAACAGTGTAATGTACGATTTCTCTATCGACTGACCTTTTTGAATATACAGCAGGCTAGCAAAGTCTATTCCTGTGACTGAAAAAGGCAGAGAGGGTAATACACAGTCAGGAGGGAGGGGGTCATCAGTTTCTCGATAAGGCTGTTCAGACTCCTTAGGCATTGGCACGGTGGACATCTATGTAGTACAGTCTTAATGACTTGGCAGGCTCACAGGATCCAGAAGTCTTCTCTCAGGTTGGTGAGAACCACACTAGTGCCCAGGTGCCCAAGACATAGATGGCAGTCCATGATGAGGAGATGGGTGAATGTGTGTCGGCGATCTAGTAGAATTGGATGAAGTGTGGAAGTGCGGACATCTGCAAATTGCAGACAGCCTCCTACTCTTAGGATTCCATTGGATAGGAACGGGTGGAAGCGGTAAATGGGTAATTTTTCTGATATAAGTGTACTGGAGTTAAGTGCTATTAACTCGTTAGCAAAATATATTTTCTGGACTGATCTGATCCAGTGATCTCTCACTGAGTTCACTTTGTATGCTGAGAGCTCTCTTGCCCAGTGATTATTCTGGGGATGGGTTTTACAAAGTGTAATGAAGCAGAGGATCCAGGCTGTTACTTGAAGGAGGCATGTGTAGCTACTGAAGTGAGTTGCATCTAGCAACTCAATATGGGCTGTAATGTGCAGGGTGACCACATGTTTGCATTCTTCTGGAACACAATCTGATGGTGTAGCGTGGTCATTGGCTGGCCAATATTCTTCTGTTTGTGATAACCATTGGGGACCCTGCCACCAGGATGTGCAACTGCAGAGATGTTTTGCTGTCAGGCCTCAGGACAGGTGATCAGCTGGGTTGTCTGTGCCGGGACAATGACGCCATTGATTTGGGTTAGTGATGCTTTGGATTTCCATCACTTAATTCTGCACAAAGGTCTTCCATCAATTAGGGTGTCCACGGATCCAACCTAAGGTCACCTTGGCATCCAAATGACTGCTCCTTCTTTGGATCTTTGAACCTTCTTTGGACCTTCGACCTTTGAAGATTGGTTTCAGTAGTAACGTATTTTTGTAGGTGACAACCCACTAAGGCTGCAAGTGTTCTAGACAAGATAAGGTAACCCTTTTGATGGGGCTAGATGAGCTTTGCTGCAGAGAAGACATGTAGAGGTGCCTAATGAAAGATTGGTACGAATGTAAATAATGACACCATAGGTACGTTTGCTAGCATCACAGAAGACTTGTTGAAGCCTGTTGTTTGTTGACTTGTTGCTGACATGAATTTTTGTTAAATGTAGGTCTAGACGTGTTGTTTTGATCCATCTTGGTATGGACACAAATGACAAGTGTTGTAGGTCTTCTAACCATTGTTTCCAATGAGTTGAGATATCTGCTGGCAAGACTTCATCCCATTGGAGTCCGTGGAGCCAAGTGTGTTGGAAAATGATTTTTCCTGTAATGGAGATAGATGCAAATAATCCAAGAGCGTCATACAAGCGAGATGATGCGGCAAGTAGCAGGCGTTTCATACTGGGGTGTTCCACAGCATCTGAAACAACATCATTGTAGTCTATGAGAAGTTCATCCTTTAAGGTGTCCCAGTCTACTTCGAGTACTTGTGTTTTCTGAGCGTATGCTATGTTCCTGTCTTCCCACAGCTCCTTCAGCAATACATAATTGGTAGCCAATTTCGTCATGGGAAGGTGGATCTGACCCATCATATCTCTAATGTCCTGATATATTTGTATAACAGTGGGGTCAGTATGGTCTCCTGCTGAGAAGTTGTCCATATATAGACCTTTGTCCAGTATTTGGGCATCTGAGGGATGGCTGATTGTGGAGCTGGCTATGAGTTCCAAGAAGGTGGCCAACAGGAGAAATGGACTGGATGCTAGTCTGAAAGGCAGCCTTTGGAATCGGTAGACAGCCAATTCCTTCATAGTGTGTAGCTGTCCCCTTTCATCTGCAACCACCTTAAACCAGAAGAAGCAGGTGACATCTTGGTCATCAGGGTGCAAGATTAGCTGGAGATAATGTCCTTTTGCCACTAATGCCCTTTTGTGAAGACGAAAGCGGAGTAGTGTTACTATGATGTCCAGCATCAGGTTGGAACCCACTTCCAAGGCATCGTTGAGAGCAGGATGCTCTTTTGCATGAGAAAACACATCGAATACGATACACCATTTGGCAGTATTGTGTTTGGTTCAGATTGCTGTGTGGTGTGGCAGGTAGTAGATCTGTTGTAATTTTGCTTGTTCATCAATCCATTCCACATAACTGTTGGAGTAGTTGAGAATGTGGCAGGTGTACATATTGCTGAATTTGCAATGTAGGGCCTCAAAATGTCACAGAGCAGTTGTGCGGTTTGTATCCTTGAGGAGGATGTTCTGTTTCCAGAGCAGACAAACCTCTGCCCTTCCTCCCTTGATCCAGGAGTGACAGAAGCTATCGAGCAGATGTGCATCGTGGTTGGTCAATGACTTCTCTTCTGACTCTTGGATGCCAAGAGTGTCCAGATCCCACATTGATCATAGTATTGGGTCCAAAGGGGTTGTAATGCTATTAACATGGACTGGGTGAATTGAGATATTAGTCCGGTTGCTGTTCAAAATCCAGCCAAAATGTGAGGGGACTAACATCAGAATGTCATTTATGCAGATGAGGCTTTCAGTTTTGACAAATCGCCAATAAAAGTAGGATCCAATTAGTATTTCAATGGGTAGATCACATGACTCCTGTTGTGGATCTGCAAATTCTAGTGGTAGTATCTCTTTGACTGGATATGCAAACTGTGATACCATCAAATGAGGGAGATACATATTTGAGAATTATGCCACTATTAAGGATATAGTAAATCTGCTGACACAGCTGGATAGAGTGAGTCATACTCGACATATGATGTGTAGGTGCTGGCATCTGATTCAAAGGCTTGAATTGCCAATGGTTCATATCCAATCATGTCCAGTTCTAATGAGTCAATGAGAGGGATGCCAACAAAACTCCTTTGGCTTCACAGATCTAAGACACATCTAACTTGTCTGGCAGTACCTTTCGCTCCATGAATCCAAACTCAAGCTGTCTGTAGATATGTAAAGTTTGAATGTACTGTACATCAATTTTACTCACTGTGGCTTGAGATGTACTAATGGTTGAGGGAACAAAAACTGGAGCGGATGTTGTGAGTTGGGTTGCATGTTGTATCTGTCTGTTAGCTGCGATCATCATATGGGTCTGCTCTGTGTTGGGTTTGTCTCATATATCGAGATATGATGATTGCTGCTACATCGTTGACATGGTTAGTTTTCCTTGTCAGGGGCAGTTATGAGCAGTGTGATTTTGGCCTAGGCACAGAAAATAATGGTTAGTCTCATGCAGTTTCCCTGCACAGTCTCTCAGATTTGTTATAAGTGTGCAGTCAGAACTGAAATGGTGGAAGCCGTTGCAGAAGGCACACAGAGGATGGGAGGATCCTCTCCCTTTGGTGTTTCTTCTTGTAGACTTATACCTTGTCCAGACTGCTAGAGTGGCTGCCATAGCTTGGGGTTCTTCGCTTGTGATAAACTGTTCCTGTGGTCCGTGGATAGTAGCTGCGGTAATAATACAATTTATTTCATTTCCCACAAACTTCAGCAATTGTTCCAGGTCAGACTCACTAGTTCACTATTACTCTTGTGATTGGCATGGACGAGCCATCATTCACACAAGGAATCTGGGAAGGTCCAAAGGATTTTTTGGTATTAGGATGCGCCATAGTGGCTGATGGGCTCTCTCAGGGCTTTCAGAGCATGTACTCTATTCTTGCACTCAACAAAAAGGTTGTTCAATTTGGCAGCTGTAGGACAGATCAGAGGTTGCAGACTCTTTATGTAGTTGATGTGTGCCTGAATTATACAGTTCTTATCTCCGTATTTCTTCAATAGTTTTGGTCTCAGCATATGCCCCTGCAGTTATGGCTATGCCATCTACTAGGTGCTTAGCCTCTCCTTGGAGACATCCTTGAAGAAAGACATACTTCTCAATGTCCGGTATGTTACAATCCTCATCAATAGCTGCTGTAAACTGTTCCCAGAAGTGTTGCCATTTAGCAATTTCACCTTCAAACGATTCAAAAACCAAGGCACGCAATCCAGTGCAAGTGGTCACCTGTGGTTGACTGATAAGGGAAGGGGAGTCTAGACTTATGGGACTTGCCGTAGTCAGGTTGGACGTGGCATTTCTGCAGTCCAGAACTCATTGGACTCTAATTACAGCAAGTCTGGTGGATTCTTCACTCTCTTCATAGGCAGCAGCATTGGTTTTGTATTCCATGTCCTCAAATTTATATTCATGTAATATCTTTAATTCCCTAAGCCATTTGTTCAACACGTTGCGGGACAGTTCAATTTTGTCGGATGGCGTTGAGTCAGAAATGGTGTAGACCTTGCTGATCACATTTGTCATGGACATTCTTACGGTATTGTGGTGGTGTTGGAGCTTGCTCAATTCCTTGTTGGAATTTGAATTCATTCTGTTCAGAGATGTCTCGGTCATATTTCAGTCAATGATGACAGTTGAGTAACAAAATCAGTTCTGCCAATGGAGAAGATGGGGCAATATGGCAGATGAACACATGTGGCAATATAACAGTAAAGACATGTAGCGATGAGCAGAATGACAATGGAGTAGATAATGGTAGTACCAAATAAATTTCTTACCTGTTGACGTCAGTTCTATCCCAATTTCATGTTTGAAGTTATCAATAGTCTCGCTTGTGGAAGCGATGGTATGAGCAGTAATGTCCAAATTAAGGCAGGAAAGTTCTTGATCCTCATTGAGTTTCACTAATCCTGGTCATGGCACCAATATGTTGTGACTATGTGCAATAACACAGACAAAGGGGTGAAGCTGTGAACAATACATTTATTGTCCGTTTGGGATCAGTTACACTGTTAATGGCAGGACAATGGTCCAACTACTCTCTCGTCGCGTGACTGACTACTAACTTTCCTTCTCACTGTTGAGGGGTGTCCTTGTTGTCACATCCCTCACATGAATGTTTAACATTCATAAGGAAATTACTAAAGTGGCTAACATCAGAATCACTTATAGGAGGAATCTAATCTTTGCATTGATCAGAAAATGATAAGGA